TGTGTGTGTGTGTGTGTGTGTGTGTGTGTGTGTGTGTGTGTGATAGACAGCGGTGACTTTATATTGAGCGTATCAATTGTTTTAAATCAATTTTTCTAATCTGAAAAGAATCTCCAAATGTTTATGCAAGGACTTGGAAATGCTCTGATACAGGTTACTGAAATATCAACACAGCATCATCTTCTCCCTCCGCGTCACACAAGCACGAAATCACACGCACACACGCGCGCGCACACATTCACGCACGCACACACCCCCCCAACCGCCGGTGTTGTAGGGCTAACCGGTTCCCCACAGGCGCGCCACGCTGCGTTAGCGCGGCCTCACCGGGGATAATTACAGCCTGGCGCGGCAGGGCGAGCATGGCTCAGAGCCAAACACTGAGAGAGAGAGAGAGAGAGAGAGAGAGAGAGAGAGAGAGAGAGAGAGATTAGTGGAGCAGTGAGAGACATGGACCTATAGATTAAGCCCTAATCAATAGGCTGCTAAATTGATCGATGCAATCAATCAGTGGGCCCGTGACACAAAATAACCATTGCGATCAATCACACTTGTCTTATTCCGACCTTGGGGATCACAGACGGTGATCATCCTTTCCAACCCGCGCGGGCAGAAACGTTGAGCAGTCGCGTCATTTTTTTTTTTTTTTTTTTTTTGTAGAGAATAAAGATTAAAACCTTCAAACGAACCTTATCTGAGAGGAAGGAGAAGCGGTGGCGGCTCTCAGCGCAGCACAAGAAAGATCCCCCCTCCCTTCTCCCTCCCACCCCTCCTCCTTCTCTCTCGTCTGTCGGCCTCTGTCGAGTTCCGCTCATAACCTCGCCACCCACCCTCCCAGTTCCCCGCCTCTCCCTGCTTTCCGCTGCTGGCGGGGAGCGCTCTCACACACACACACACAGAGGCGCACACACACAGAGAGAGGCGCACACACACACAGAGGCGCACACACACACACAGAGGCGCACACACACACACAGAGGCACACACACACACACAGGCACACACACACACACACACAGAGGCACACACACACACACAGAGGCGCACACACACACACACACACAGAGGCGCGCACATACACACACCAGAGGGAGCCACACACCCACCCACCTCTTTATAGCTCTCTCGCTCTGACACGCACCCACAAGCATGCACAGCCTTGCACGCACGCCGCGCACACACACACACACACACACACACACACACACACACACACACACACACACACACACACACACACACACACACACACACAGATGACACACAGGCAGGCAGGCAGCGTCAATAAAAAGCCCAGCGCTGTGAGAGGCCGCCGGCACTCCACTCCCCCCTCCTGCCACTGCGATTAGCGGAGGCTGGCTGGCTGGGGAGAGGCGCCCCTCTGTTATCTGGGGCGGTGGCAGTCTGTGTGTGTGTGTGTGTGTGTGTGTGTGTGTGTGTGTGTGTGTGTTGGTTTGTGTTGTGTGTGTGTTGAGAGAGTGAGAGAAAGAGAGAGAGGGTAGAGGGAGAGATTAATTTAACTCTTTCGGGGCCAGATCGCAGCGCTTGGAGCTCCGCTCGCTCCAGCACTCCGCTCCGGCAGCAGCAGCACAGCCGAGCTGTTGTTAGACAGGATGACGGGAGAGAGGGACATTAAACGCGCCATTCTCCAGAAAGACATATGTGAGCAGGGTCACAGCCACCGAGGTCACGTCCTCGGTAACAGACCATTTAAGTGGATTTTTTTAGGGGGGTATTTTACAATTAGAGGCCTGCATTTTAGCCACGCAGGGTTTTAAGGCTGAGTCTTTGGACTTTCCAGACAATTGTTTAAATTGTGAACACTTTATTGGTAGAAAGGGATTTATTCTCCACCAGGGTGACAGAGTAGAGAACAGGTTTCAACATTTAGACAAGTGTTGTCAGTTAGAAGATCGATTAAAAAAAAAAAAAAAAACGCCAACGATTTTATTTTAATCGACAAATACTTTGAGCAATTTTGCCAAACATTTGCCGCTTCCAGCTTCTCTGGTTCATTTGAAGATTTTCTGCTTTTGTTTGTCCTATAACACAGTAAACTCAATATCCTTTGGGTTTTAAACTGTTGGTTGGGCAAAACAATTTAAAATTTGAATATGTTGGAAGTGTAATTTTATAATCAAAACAATGAATTGAGACAGTATCAGATACATTTATAATCACACATAATATAAATAATAATGATTGAACAGTTACATTTATAAATAGAATCTGGAACTTTTTAATTACTCAGAAAATTGTACAGAGTTTGGTTGGTGACTGGATAAACATTTCCTAGGTGGGTGGGGGTTTTGTTTGGGGAATTTGGGGAATTCTTAGTGAAAATGTACCGGAGTGACAATTTGATCCAAATCGTTTGTGTAAATGGTCAAACTGGTCTAATTGTAGATTTTGTCAAGCTAGCACAGTACATTAAAGACTCACAGCTCTGAAAATGATGTATTTCTTCTCATTTCATCTACTGCAGTGTAGTGTTGGTCTCAGGGAAGTAAGATAGCCTTGAAACCAATCAGATCCCTTCACCTCATCGGCCTTTAAAGGTTTCTGAAAACCACAGCATCATCACTGCTGTATTTATTTACTCACAACATGTTGGGGCTCTGACAACTTGAATTTTGTTTTCTTACGTGTTGTTTACAATTCCTCAAAATGCTGCTCCTGCACCGCTGAGGAGCTTTGTTCAGCTCTGCTCTGAGCAAATTATCACAGATTCAAGGTCAGCGTCAAGAGGAGAGGAATCCCTAGAAGCACTGTCTTTGCATAACTTTTCTTCCCCTCTAAGGCCATTTCTCAATGGCAGAAACAACCTGATAATTTGAAAATATGGTGGTAAAACATGAATTTTCAAGTAGTCAGCATGCGGTTATGTGTATTTCTTTATTTTATATAACTTTGTTCCCGAAGTAAGTGAGAGTTATTGTGTTTGTTTGCACACCGGGGGTTGAAACAGGATTACACTGCAGTTGCCCTTCATTGTATTTTGTAGTTTGTAAGCGCTCTCTGAATGGCAGGATTAACCTGTGAGGGAGGCCCCTGGGCAAAAATTTGCTAATGAGCCCCTGTTGTCTTAAAACTTCAGTTTGGCAGGGCCTCTCGACAATTACTACCAAAAACTGAGTGACACATGGTGAACACAGAGCATCTGGAGAGAGGACATTAGTTCTTTGGAGCATAGCTACATCTGTCTTTTTGTTCTTTTTGTTAAATAAAATCCATAGAATCAAAAGAATATGGCTGTATCTTTGAATATTACACATATGCTGTTTTTCCTTCTTGTCAACAAATCCCAGGAAAAGACCAAAACCAACAATAAATGTATCCCACCATCGGGTATGGCCTGTATATCTACAGTCTGATATCTTATTCCTCTGTGCCACAGATCAATCAGTGAGCCACACTGTTGCACTGGCTAACATGTTTCTTCATTACAATGAACATGACCCCTGTAGTTTATTTTGAGTCCATCCCTCCTACACCTTCCTGTAGCTACAAATGCTTAATAGGGCACCAAATATAAATATAAAATAGTGCCAACAAGTGCACTATTTACTCAGTTTCTCCATTTTTTGTTAAAAACTACAATGCCCAGGGTTTTTTTTCTTCAGAAAATCAGTTAACCTTTACTTAAACTTTAAATAAATACACTATATGTATTTGGAGCCAGCTTTTTTCTATTAAATTCCTCAGTAGGAATAAAAGAGCCACATCCAGGGCAGGGAAGTTGGGACGGACTAACGCATTGTTGGTTTTGGTGTCACAGGATTTGTTGACAACAGGAAAAAGCATAAAATAACCCTTTAACCGCATCTCATGGGCTGAATGTTAAATCTTAATATCAAATATTACGGTTTGCGTTTTGAATGTAAAATAAACTTTAGTATTCCGCTCATATGCCACTCCTTTATATCTGCATATAGGAACACAGAGGGAAGGTCGGCACTTATACCAACATGCCCGGAGCAAGCTAATTAAAACATCTGATGTAAAGCTCTACACAACAAGTTGGACTCAATTATTTATACTTTTAAGACGCCATTCATGCGGGCTGTAATCTCCACATTAACCTTCCCCGGCGTTATATTTACAGTAAAGCGTCGGCTGGGCTGACTGTGAGAGGGGCTCTACCGTCCACCACATCCCCGCCTGGACGGTAAACACCGCCGGGTCTCTACCGACGCTCCCGGTGGACAAACACCGAGGTGACGGAGCTCCGGCTTGTTTTTCAGCGTCTGGGCTGCTGCTGCTGCTGTCGCCTCTCTCTCTCTGTCTCTCTCTCTCTCCCCCCCTCCCTGTTCCTGTGCGTCACAGTTAGGTCATGGCCGGACTCCAACAATGGCTCCGGTTTCTCGAGCCACGTGCACGTGCGCAAACACACACACACACACACACACACACACACACACAACCATATACACACACAGGCACAGGCACCAGGAGCACACAAACACAGATCTGACAAATGATAGGGTGGCGAGGCGAGGCGAGCTAATAGTAGGCAGTGCGCCTGCCGACATGCCCGTGGGCCGCGGGTGTTAAATTGTATCCAATTACGGCGCATGCGACGATATGAGGGGGGAATAATAATTCTTCTTGCGTGACAGGGAGATTCGCTTATTTCCCGGGCTCTTTATATGGGGGGGGGGTTGCGAGGCTCGAACCGTACAAGCGTCTATGGGAGAGCCTGTGTAGGTGTGTGGAGGTCTGGTTTTCTGGAGGACATGGCGCACATATTTCATTAATCAAAATCCAGTTAACCAGATTTGGAGACGCGGCAGGGGCCATCAGGGGGCCGGCAAATAATTAATATCCATTATTTGAGAAGCCCAAGTCTAAAAGACGTCTTAACGCACATCCAAACACACACACACACACACACACAAACACACACACACATAAATGGACACTCACTTCACAGGAGGCATCGCAGTGGCATGAGGGATTGCCATCAATGTGAAAATGAAATAAACACGCCCAGTCTCAGCTTTGTTATGAAATGTCTCACCTGCTCATTTATTTGATGGAGTGCACAGTCAAGTAAAACCAGCAACAGTGCCAAAACAGGGGTAGGGGCACAATGTGCGTTTGTGTGTGCGTGTGTGTGTGTGTGTGTGTAATACAGTGGTGGGGCTCTGTGACCTGCAAACTAAAGTTGCACTCTTGTGTCATTGACTCCCAGCAGAAAAGTTCAACAACTCAAGGGTAAAAAGGGTCAAGTGTCGGTTCATTAGTTCAACTTGTCAGAGAGGCAGCTGACAGCCTGCGACACGCGCAGACAGTGATGAAACCACCTAGATATGAGGAAAAACCAAATGGGGTGAGGTTGAATATAAAGTGACTCTATTATCCTGCCAATCACACCACAGCTATGTCCCCTCAGCGCCTCTGACAATGGCCATGAGATGATGAACCATCGAAGGCTGTTGCTATGCCGTGGGTGCTGTGAGTGTGTCATCTTTTCCAACCTGCTTTGACAGCCACCTTAGAGAAAGCATGTGTGTGTGTATATGTCTGTGTGTGTGCGGGAGTATGTTTGACCAATAACATGTTTATTTATTTATTTATTTTTTAAAGTTGTTCATAAGGCTATATATGTACTGAATCAGGTTGTGTTCGACTGTCACGTGAGAGCAGCAGGTTTGGACCAAGAGAAGCATTTTCTTCACATTCCAGTCCAAGGCACGTACAAAAATAGTGTGTACACTTAAATATATACAGTACATTGATCTGTTATAAATACAGTAAAACAAATAAATGCAGTATTTCATAAAAAATACAAAAACAATCCTTCAAAGGAATACTTGTGCGAAAGTTGCAACAACAGTAATGTCATATGCAAAGAGAAACAACAGAAAACAAATACTGTCTGTGGAAGGAGAGTCTCCCTGCCAGTAACACTCACCCTTTGGGACTTATTTGCCTAGTGACCATTTCAGAACCCCCTCCTGTATTTCCACTGCACCCCACCTCCCCCCTATTGGATAGAAAACCATTCAGTACCCAGATCAATCTCAGCGTGGATGCAGACGCTTTCACGACTGACACACAGGGTGCTTTTTAAAAGGCCTGCTTTTCACCTCATCCCCTGCAGAGAAGTGAAAAGGTAATTGCTGTGAATGCTAAACTAACACCTTGTTATGATTGCCTTTCAGCAGTCCTTTATGCTTTTTTTTATTTTTTTTTTTATTTGTGGTATGCCAAAAACACTGCAGAATGCCGGAGTCAAGAAGGCGGTGCAGAGAGGGAAATCGTTTAAAGACCTTTGGGATGCAGCAGATGTCTTTAACATTAGGAGGATCTTTAGATCTGCTCTTCTCTCGCTCCTCTCTGATGGTACTGTAGTATTGCAGGGAGCTGCAGCTCTGCTCAGTATGTGTGTGTGTGTCTTTAGGATATTAAATAGTAAAGGATGGGGATTAATAATGGAACCTGACAGCTCATCTCCGGCTTCTATCTGCCTGACTGTCCCCCCAATCTTCCCTTCCATTCCCTCCCTACCTCTTCTTCCTCCTTCTCAGTTTCTAATCCGCTGCGTTCCTCCCTTGCTGTGACCCCCCTTCGTGCTCCTTTCCTCCAGCTCTTTTGTCCTCTCTGTCTCTCCCTCTCTCCAGTTCTCTCTCAGGGCCCTCGGTCTTTCAGGGTCATGTCAGGAGAGTAGAAGAGCACGTTGGTGTCATCGTCGTCGTCATCGCTGAGGTCGGCCAGGTCAGCCTGTGTGTAGCGCACCGCCCCGGGGTGGTACTCTCCGATCCGAGTCCTGTCACACAGCCGTGACTGCAGAGCCAGCTAGAAAAATCACACACACACACAGTTTGAAATTAACACACGCTTGGTACTGGTGTTAAGATTATGTTACACTAAGCCTACATTTGAAATCTTTTTCTCACTCCAGTCTGGTCATCCATACACATTAAGCTGATGTTTTACACACTCGAAGACAGTCTCCTGAGTTGATAAATGTGAAAATGCTGGCAGCGTGTTTAACTCCCCATTTGGACTTGAACTCTACAGGCAAGACAGGCTGCTTCATCGTGAACTGAGCTTCCAAATAACATCCTGATGCTGCCCACTGTGATTTAAGACTCTGAGAATTGCAGCACCAAACTGGAGAAGTTCAATGAAATGTTCAACTAATGCCCTCTGACATGCGGCAGTGACATCCTGGATACAATCAATTACCAACACTTGTTTTGATTCCCTCTGGCAAATGAAGCACAGTTGTTTTTCATTTTCTACTCCACTCAACTACATGAAAGTACCAAACTTTAGACAGAAAGGAGGAAGAGCTAATCGTGATGTTCAACGGCATCCCCACTCAGTATAATGGTGGTGTGTTCTTTATACTATGACAAAAAATTTCAGTTTTATTATATATAATATAAATCAATATATTCAATTGTCACCGCTGTATTGTGATACATATATATACACAACCCTAATAGTAACAAGACTTGAATAAGAAAAATGATTGCTTGAACATTAACTACTGTCTTGTGCACCAGTATTGTGGAAAAAGAGCTAAGTATGTAATTTACATGCTTAATTCTATATACGCTTGTAAACCTCTGGCTCATGGGAAGCAAGAGAGAGCCTGCTACTTTCAGTTTGTTATGGCCTGAATATACTCCCAGACGGATGAGAACACAGCTGCGGACAACACAGCAGCGTAGTAGTCCTGTTTGTACTACTTTCTAAAGTTCGCCTGGAGGTCATTTTCCTGGCTGGTTACCCACAGCGTAGTGGATGTGCGGCAGTCACCAAAAGTTTGTGGTATATAGATGTACACACACAGGCAACACGTACACCCTCTGATGACAAAATGTACGCCACTTGCCCCCTCGTGTATTCGTGCATGCGCCAAGTATACCTGCTTTTAGGGGCCACTGTACTCAGACATAACTGCTTGTCGGATGGTGGAATAACTCAGGAGATCCCCTCCCCCCACATAATTCTGACACCAGATTAGGATTAGGCTGTGTCTGACCATTTCTTTAACTTTCCGAAACCAACAATGTAATATACAAACCCACTTCTGCGTGATGCCTTCAGCGTGGACCAGGCTTTTTGAAAACAATGATATAAGCCTTGTCAAGGACTTTATAGCAGCAAAGTTAAGAAGACAACCCTCTGTCACGTCTTACTTTCTCTGGTCACTTCTTTTAAATGTCAAACTAGTCAATCACACAGTAAAGATTTTGTGATCAAACAGGTTTATACCGATTTTGTCAGACGACTTTGGGGATCATAAAACAACGATCTGATTGACGTCTCAGAGCAACAGTGCAGGGACTTCTCTTCGCCTGGTTAAGGTAACATTTATGAGCCGCGATCAAATCACTATTTTATACTCATTCAGCTGTCTGACAACAGAAACAGAAAAATATGTAAATGAGAAAAAAACAAGCAGTGAATTTCGACTGTTTTAAAACAAAGAATAGGTGATCACAGAGAACAAGAGGGGGGCAGAATGTTTAAAGTTTAACCAGCTGAGACTCAGCACGGTATCCAGGCTGTGATATCTACTCCTTAATACATGATGGCTGTGATGCAGTTTTGACGTTCACAGGCTGAAATAAGACAGCAAAGAAGAGAATCTTTACAAGAACGACCTGAAAACTTTTGTGGACACACGCATTAACGGCATTTTCAAAACTAGCTAGTTGTCTTAGTGTGGACGTAGTCTAAGATTGCAGTGATACTGAGACATAAGGGGATGAGGGAGCAGCTCTTTCCTGCATGCACACTCGCGTACACACAGAAGAAGAAGGAGTGAGAGGTGAGCTCATTGCAGAGCCACAGGCGGTTCAGCTGTATGGCTAGAATGCAGATCAATATCAGGGAAGGAAAGAGTGGAAGAGGGGAAGAGGGAGCGAATACAGGTGGGAGGGAGATGCTACACAAAGGAGAGCGGCAGAAATAATGTAAGAGAGATAAATTCCAGAGATGCTGTAACAGGGTACAGGGAACAGAGGAGGCAAGGGAACAGACACACATACAGTACAGAGAGACAGAGATAGGCAGAGAGAGGGAGGAGGAGAAGCGTCAAAGACTGCCGTGGAAGAGAGGGAAAAAAATCTACGGAGGACTAGATAAAGCCAGAGATATGAGGCGGAGAGACAGCAGAATGTCTACACACAAGAAACCACGTTACTGACAGGTTACTGTCCCGTAGGTAATTAGACAACAGGTTTATGTAAAATCCTTTTATACTCGCAGCAGGTCAGTCATCAAAAGGGGCTGCATAGTTTAAGTTTTAGTTGCACCAAGACTGATGAGGCCTCATTTAAGCTGCAACTAACTTCAGAATTCCCTTTAGCACAGGATTAAGAAGAGGTCTTTGGTTTAATATTTGGAATCACAAATTAATTCTCAATTCAATAAACAGAAAAGGAGGCACCATCTTTTTAGTGCCACACCGCTCACTCATGTTTGTAGTCTGCTGAACTGCAGAATTTGCAGAAACATAACTGTCAGTTAAGCTAACTTGTCTTAAAGAAGGTCACTGTCTGACAGAGCAGAAAAAGCGACGTTACAGTCTTCTGCTTGAATGAGAATAATAAAATCAAAGTTTTTTACTGACCACCACTGGCCTCAGTGTTAAGGATGTAACATTTCGCTAGCTACATAGGAAGATGACATCGTTTTTAATCCCAAACCTACAAAGCTCTGACTGGTCGACTGTTTCTTCAACTGCAGGAAACAGTTGTTTGGCACAACAAGGCCAATTTGAATCACTGAACACATAGATGTCGGCAGTGATTCAGTCTGATACAAGGCTACAGGTGCAGGTCTTTTGAAAATCCATAGCGTACATCAAGTTAATCTCCATAGACTAAACTAAGGGTCTTCAAAAATCTGACACTCTGTTCCTACCTCTGACAAAACTGAGATTATGCCAATGGTTTGCTTGTTTGTCTCTGAGTGATGGTGTACAATGTATTCGCAAAATACTTCACCTTCATCTTGCAGAACTAGTTACTGAGTCATTAAATTCAAAATGCTCCCAAGTGCCTGCCTTTATTCAAGATGCCCTAAACTCACAGTTACATTATGGAGAAACACATTTACGTTATCAGCAATGTACCAACATTTCTAGAATGTCAGGTTATAATGTACACTGATTCCGCCCGCCCATAGGATGAAGGACTGTAGATTTCATCGTCTTACAGCAATTGCCACATTCGGAGGGGATCCCCTAATGGCAAGTATGGTGAGGAGGGACTGACAACTCTTTCAATGTACGCATGGCATATGAGTAGTGCATTAAGATGGACTAGAAAAAGTCTGAGCCAATCCCTTTAAATGCATGTAAATGCACCGCAGGCAAACAGCAAGACAGACACAGAGAGCGAGAGAGCTAGAGGAGGCAGAGTTAGGAAGGGTGGGGGGTGTCTGGTCTGAAAGCGCAGATTTGTTGCGTTGAGGGAGGAACATTTTGAAGCTGTTACAACCCCCCCACCACCACCTCCTCCTTCTCTGCCTTACCCCTCCTCTCCCCCGCCAATCTCACACCTGATGTGTGGGGGCTGTTGGGAGTCGCATGCCAAGATGAATAACAACCGGCTGTTAGTCACGATAGAGCATGAACATACACGCTGCCTGTCTCTCTCTCTCTCTCTCTCTCTCTCTGTCGTCTCCTGTCTCACCTTCTCCCTCTTTCTCTCTGGCACACACAAACAGCATTTTCTCTGTGATTTACGGACGCATTGAGATTCCATTTCGCTCCTCTGTCTCTCTGTGTCTCTCTCTCCACTCACCACAGTGAAACATTGACATTTGGGTTGAAGGTCATACCACACATTCCACTCTTCCACACTGCGCTCATGACCCGTTATCAGTGTGGTTGGTGATACAGAGTAGGTGACAATATGCGTGTATGCGTGTGTGTGTGTGTGTGTGTACGCGTGAACTAAAACCACAGAGAATTTTTTTTCTATGTGGTTCAATATCAGCTCTGACTCGCATCTGCAGATACTGCCAATGTTTGTTGATTGAGACAAATCTGTGGAGAATTGTATTGATTGTAGTGTTTATTGAAATGCAACCAATGAGGTTTGCAGTTCAAATGTAAAAACATCATTCCTCTGGTAATTTTGTCTTCATTACATTTCTCTAAAAGCTCATTTTGTGAAACCACTAAAAACTAAAGTCACTGATTTGTATTTTTACTCCTTAAATAAAAGGATTTTGTATCAACGACCCAACAATTATTTCCTATATAAGTGGGGCGTTAGCACCTTTTACTGATGCTACTAATCAATTTGGAAAGTTAAGTAGTCTAATTACAAATTCTAAAGGGATTATTTCTAACTAATAAGAAGGCTAAAATTCTGGAGGTAAAAACTTTTTTGCAGGATTAGCACAATTTATAACGAGTATTTGGGTTACTTGAACTCAACATTCTTACAGTGATTAAGAAATACAGAAATTGAGAAGAGCTACAACTAAATGTCATTTTTCTTATCAATTAAAGGACCAGTGTGTTGTAGTTAGTGCCATCTAGAGGTGTAGTTGCAGATTGCGATCAACTCACCTCACTCCCCATTCCAAGTGTGTAGGAGAAACTTAGGTGGCCATAATAAAAACACAAAAAGCCCTATCTAGGGCCAGTGGTTGGTTTGTCCTTCAGGGCTACTACAGAAACTTGGCGGTTCAAGATGGCTGCCTCCACAGAAGAGGACCCAGTCCCTCTGTAGATACAAACAGCTCATTCTAAAGCAGGGGTAGGCAATCTGCAGTACTGGAGCTGCATGTGACTCTCCAGTAGCAGCTTTCACCATTTTCATTCATCATTTTTAGGGCCTAAAGTGATTCTTATATTCCCCAATTGTAAAAACAAATAAAAATAAAAAACTGCTTACTGCTTGACCTGCAGCGAGAAATTAGCATTATAAGGCTCAAATATGTTTTTTCTTTTTTTGGGCCAAAAATTGCTCTCTTGATTGTAAAGGTTGCTGACGCCTGTTTTAAGGTAACAAAAACACGATTCTTATATTCAGGTGATTATACACTAATGAAAACATATCTATGAATATTATTATATTCCATTTCTGTCAATAGATCCTCCTAAATGTTACACACTGGACCTTTGAGCTGCAGATTCTTTCTCTGTCTCTCACTTTGTCTATTAATTGTCATAAAATAAATGGCCCATCACAATTTCCAACAGCCCAAGTTAACATATTGAAATTGTCAAAGATATTCAGTTCCTGATCATAAAAAATGAAGAAAAACAAGCAATATGCACATCAGCTAATTTCACCAATTCCTCATAACTTCAAAAACTGGCTCTCAGATCACAAAATTGTTTCCATCAACATCTGTCATACACTGTCAACTAGACACTCCTTGGCACTAAATGGACAATTGCGTATTGCGGAGATCTCCACAGGGTTGTTAATCACTCTTGATGACTCAACAACTACTTTACCAGGAAGTGAGACTTGTGGGCCTTCAAAATTAGATTTCTGCATTGTGATATTGGCCAACTGACTCATCTCGAATAGGAAAATGTGGCTTCATCATTTCTGATAATACTGTACAGTCAGAGACCTGTTGCTGCTGATGTTGCATTCCTTGAAAATGATATGGTTCATTTAGATTAAGTGGAATGTCTACAGCGTTATGCATACAATGAGCAGTGGTAAGAAATTATCCACAAGGCACAAATTGATAATTTTGTAGTACACTTTTTTTAGGAGGAGCCAGTCTTCCCCAATATCTGCATATTATCAAGTCTTTAAATGACCACCAGTCGACCTAATATAGCTAAAGAATGGTCAATATTAGTTCAACACTAGATCCACAAAACAGCTTTGACAAACTAGATTTAGGAAATTGAAGAAAGGGAACCTTTAAAAATAAGTGACACTATTGCGGTTAAGAGAGTTCCTTTTTGCATACGTCCTTGTATTTGACTCCAAATATGTTTCTACAACTAACAACAACCTCCCACACACAAGCATAACCATTAAATTCTACAACATTTCAAGAATGCAAGGACTGGAAAAAATGGGAGAAAAAAAATAATTCAGTCATAGGGCTTTCATCCAAAGCATGCTGGGATAGGCTTCAGCCACCTGTGACCCTGACAGGAGTAAGCAAAGGCACGTGGTAGAGGACGGATGGCAATCAGAGGTTTATAAAGCCCTTTTCAGACAAGAAATCTCTATCATCGCTGGCTGTGTGTATCTGTTATAGTAATGGCTTTGTAACTGCACTAATGGTGTTGCTGTACCTGCATGCCAGTAGGGCTCAGTAGGCTCCACCAATCCCTATCCAGGCCAAAGACAAAGGCGTTGGCCAAGCCGTGGAGTGGTGCTGACAGGACGTGCAACAGGGTGAGAGGGAAGGATGGATCCTGTGGGTAGAAGGCATTATGGAGCCTGTTGGAGAAGAGAGAGAGAGAGAGAGAGAGAGGGACAGAAGTGTTCGTGAGTTCATCCATAAAAATAAAAAAAAGTTGTAAATAAAGAGACAACCTGCAAGAGAGCTTCGGGGGTGAGTAATTGAAGGAGAAGTCAGAAGCAGTAGAAAGACAGCAATGGGAAAAAAGGGAAAGACAGGGAGCGAGAGGTTGATAGACAGAGCAACTAAAAGAGGGAGAAAGAGAGGGAGAGGACAAGTGAGTGACAGAGTGAGGGACAGGGTGAGAACGAGAGGTAATGAGAGCGAGTGGCGCAGGCAGAAAGGGAGAGAGAGAGGAAAAGGGGAGGGCGAAAGAGCGAGTGAGCTTTATATCAGCGTTTAAGAGCCCATTAGGCAGCGTGAGACGGCTGGGCTGACACATTCTTGGCTGCCGCTTCGACAGCACGCAGCACTTTACAAGGACAGGGAGAAGTGTAGCGCTCGACTCCCTTCCTCTCCTTCTCTCCCCTTTCTCTCCTCTCAGTTTCCTGCTTCTCCTGACCACAATTCCACCGTCCCCTTTTCTCCTTCTTTTTCATTCTATGCACGTTTCCTACACACTGCCTCCCCCTTCTCCGATATCTCTCCCATTTCTTTGCATTCGGTTTCATCTGTCTGGATATCTCATTTTCATCTTGACTCATGAGGGTGATCCTCGATCCTTTTCTTTTCAATTCGCCTCCCTGTGCCTATCTCTCTGGGAGCCTGGGGCATGACTAGGAGGAGAACCTGATATTGTGTGGTGCGGCTGCAAACTAATGGCTGCCCCTGAGAATGATGCTGCTCAGCCATTAACCCTGGATTAACCCTGTATTAGCGCTGCTCGCCGGGTTAGCCCGCCGCTAATGTCTTTTATTGATCTATTAGCGAGAGAATCAAACCGCACACAGCTCGCAGCGTTTTCCGTGTGTATGTGTCCCTAGGTTGGATGCACAGAGTGAACTAAGTGGCCACGGTGGTTGACCTCAGGTTCGAGAGAAAGGCCTCCCCAAGCTACTTGTGCCCTGCAGGGAAGGAAGATACAAAACCAACCATTTGAGGAAGAGAACCACTATGTGGTTGCAAGCAGTTACGTGAGACACCACAGTCACCCATCTATTTGTGACTGACACAGTCAGAGGATGAGGCACATCTCCGGTTATTTACAATGATTTCATTAAGATCTTTGGTAACAGCACTATTGTTGTGTTTTCAACTATTCTCCCCATTAATCACTTCACAACAGTGTTGTCAATAGTGTCACATAACTGGACTCATCCCTGAACAAACAAGCCTTGCCCGCAAAAATAACTTAAATAACTACAAGTAACTACTTTATATGATAAATTGCAACTTGTCCGTATTTTTCTTTGCATAAATCTTTAAAACAGTTCATAAAGACATAGTTCCATAGTTCCAGGTTTTGGCAAATGTTACTCAAACAGGAGTAAATACTGCACTATTTTCAGTTGCTGATGAATCCATATTTGGTTTGCTAGTATCTATGGCACCAGGATATTGAGCGACTGACTCAAAGTAATCTACAGTGTCTATGTTCATCATAATGAAGGAATATTCACCCAACTGGGTGGACCATATGTGTTTTTCTAAGCTTTTGGAAAACAAATGAGGGTTTGGCTAGACAGGCAATACTTGTTAGAAGGACAAATTCATAGCAAGCTTTGCACTTGTTGTGCAATGTGTTGGCAAAAAGAAAAGTATTGAATATTTTCCCAGGCTTATCCTGTCCATGAAAGATGGTCAAAGGATAATTCACTTTCAACACATATATCTAAGCGAAATCTAAGTAATAAGTAACAAGTAAGAACATTGTATTTGCAAAAGGAAGTAAGTGGATTTATGATAAATGTGGTCTTAATTTGAAGAAAATCAAACACCGCCACTGAGATTAAGGCTGTTTGGTGTAATCATACAAAGGGATTGTAACTAATGCGACAACACAATGAATTACAGTGTTATAGTCTGGTTGATAGGACCTAAAATCCATATGATGAGCCACATTTACCTTGGTAAACACAAATAAAACCAGTGCTGGGCAATGTACCGGGTGAACCGGTATACCAGTTTTAATTTCCCATATGATATGAATTTTTCATATACTACCATACTGGTGCATAGCTGAAACAACTGCTGCAACTGCGTGCCAAGGTTGGGGCAAGCTGTGTACTGTGTATTGAGAGGGGAGCCCTGTTAAGTGTATACCCTTCTTAATAACAGTTATAACTTTATAACGCAACAATTAATGACCCACAACTAACTCTAATACGGCAAAACAAAACACCACACAGCAATTTGTGTCAATTTGTTTCTTAATTGTGCATTTTGAAAAGGTAGCAAGGTTAAAGTTGTTGGCAAATGTGTTTTATTTCTGCCTTTTGAGTAAGTTTTAAGCCATTATAAATCAATATAAAGGCCCAGTCATGCAAAAAAGAAAAAATAAACTGTAATAAACTCTGTTTCAACAAATTGCAACTACTTTACGACAGTATTTACATGAAGCTCGATTTGGCAGCAACTCTCTGGACCTGTGTGTCCAACTGTTGTGCTTTCAGATGCTTTAAGGGAGTAGAGTACACATCGCAGCCCACCTAAAGAAATAAATTGACTAAACATACTGACATGACTTTAGATGACTACAGTTTTGGTAAACTTTATTCTGTAAATGGGAAAAATGCGCCACCTTTAAATTACAGGTAAGAGGCACTTTTACTTGCCAAACTAAGCAAGCACATCATTAAGACCTGTTTTTCTTCTTCTTTTAACTTCGCTTAAAAACCCAGTGACTTTGCAGGTGAAAAGTACAGGAGATGATTATGGAGATTCATCCACAAATCTGGTTATAATCCTCTCTTATCCTCTTTTGGAGCACGAGGTTGCGAGGTTTATTTGCTAGTAATCTGTCTCCATTTACCTTCCACACACCCTTTGGAAAGTTGTGACAGGAAAGACAACGCGAGTTGGGTTGGCCAAAGGTTGGAGAGCAACCTGTAACAAGAACCTACCTGTTGTAAGTCAGTCGGGGTGAGGGTGGCAACTAAATGCGGCTTAAAATAAAACCAATAGTGCAGCTAGTGGAGTGTAGAGTGGCGTGTCCTGGCGCTTTTCAGAGTGAGGACCATTTCAGAGCAACGCTGCCTATTTTCTGGGTTAGCCTACTGCTGTATCTCCAAGGACCAGACCAGCTGCTGCTCACATTCATTTCACTTCCCATTAAAGGTGAAATAAATCAGGAGTCCCCACACAACCTCCTAAGAGACGCAGAAAACACACACACATACATGTGGACGGAGGAAGTCGGACATGCATAAACACACACATCACTGGCTGTACGTAGATGTGTGTACATACAGTATAACCTAGGTCATATGCACTGAGGATGTCAGGTGGAGAGGAAATGCAGTGGATGTGTCTTTGTGTGTGCGTCTGCCTGAGTGTGTGTGTGTGTGTGTTTGACAGCGCAGCGGTGAGAGTGAGTGGGTCTGTGTGAAGGGGGGCTATTTCTGGCGTCTCATTTTTTTTTCCCTGCTGCCGCAAAGAAATGCGATCGGCGTCCGGGAAACGAGAGCTGGCAGCAAGCAATCATCTGCCTGCCACACACACACACACACACACACACACACACACACACACACACACACACACACACACACACACACACACACACACACACACACACACACACAGCACCTCGCAGTGCCGAGCAACACGCGCCATGGCAACGGAACAGCCGCAATTAGAGGCGAAGAGCCTTTCCCCTCCATCGAGGGAGAGACGGAGAGCGAAATGAAAGGAAGAAAGAAAGAGCAGGCGAGAGAGAGAAAGAGAGACAGGAAGGGGGGGGGTGGGCGGTTGGGGGAAGGTGGGGGGCAGAGAAACAGCACTGCACAGGAAGGAGAGAGGGAGAGTGGAAGAGGGAAGGAGAACACGATAAAGAGGTGAGAATGTGCAAGAGTGAGGCTGTGAAGGGGAAAGAGGGCCGAGAGCGATGGAGGAGGAGGAAGAGGAGGAGAAAGGGCTGAAGGAGTGAGGCTGAATGGAAAAGACTAAAAAGCAAAAGGAGGCAGAGAGCGAGGAGGAGGAGGACGAGGAGGAGGAGGAGGAGGAGGAGGAGAGATATCCAAAAAGACAGATTGCAAGACATGAGCGAGACAAACAAAAGAGATTACGTGTGAGAGAAACCAAGATAAGACATGGAGGGGGGGACGCGAGGAGGTTAGATAGAGAGAAGGGAAAGATGGAGAGACGGGTGGAGGCGTGCGGAGGAGGGAGGAGGGCAGGCTGTTTCTCCTGTGTGAGCCGGGCTAATGAAAGATGAATGAGGGAGGCAGTGGTGGGAAGGAGAGTGTGGCTGCGGGCGATGCCTGGCTGAGCTGCTGCTGCGTGTGTGTGTATGTGTTTGTCGGGGTTTGTGTGTGCGGTGTAGTCGAGCGAGTCTCGCAGTTGGCTGACTGGTGTTGGACAACAGGGATGATATTGTGTATACTGTATGACTCAGGAGCAAACGGTCAACAACAATAAACACACATTCACGCTCATGCGTAGAAGGGGACGTATGTAGGTTTAAGTCTAAAAGTCTGCTACCACCTGTAAGCATGCAGTCAATCATTAGCACTCCCTCTCTTATTCAGACCTTCCATCTATCATGCTGTCAGTCACTCTTTGAACCCGTCTCCCTCACCCTTCAGATTCTGTGCAAAATCCTTCATCCGCTGCCTCTCTCTCTCTCTTCCAATATCCCACCCTGCCAGTCTATACCACTTCCCAGCCATCAATTTCCCAACTCCTTCCATCTGAGTTCACCTTTTTGTCTGCCTCTAATTGTCGTGCCGAACATCCTCGGAGCTGTTACTGTAACAGCTTGGACGAGAACTCTTTCCCCCAAGAGTGGAGGGCGACCAGACAGAGAAGTTTTCCTGACCCCGATCGCACTTCCTCCTCTCTGCGACTGACTGCCTGACTTCTTTTTTTTTCTCCCACC